TGAGACACAGCATGCACGGCAAAAGCCGGCAGCTGAATGCCCTTCTTCCATCCACACAAGAGGAAAGAAAGGAACACGAGAGGCTACACCTTCCCCTTTAGGCAAGGGAAAGAAACCCCTAACCTCAAACGCCTTCGAGGTCTTAGAGGCTTTAGATGAGAGAGACTTTGAGGGACCTGCACAGAGGGGAACTAGGCCTTCTAAAGGGCTAGCATCCCCCACTACGAGGGACTCATCTAGTCAAACCCCACATACTAGATCCCCTCGGGCAATCCGACCTCTCATACTCACCCACCCCACTCCATCCATTAGTGTCTCTCCACCACCCAGTTCCTCCTTGCCCATTCACTCTTCCCCACGTAGTAGGAGTCCTTCACCTCTTAGCCCCCACTGACCGAGGTCTACCCCTTTCTTTGAGGGTATAGGCTTGGGCACTATCCATCCCCCTCAAATCCTCGTCGATGATCTACTAGGAGGGCCTACCCCCAGCATACTTCCTATTAGTACATCTTACGTAGCCCCCCGTTCTGATTCTTATACCCTCCCCCCCTCTCCCCTACTACACCCGCCAAATCAGTTTCCTAGACTTGATCCACCACCCGTTGATTCTAGAGAGAGCCCCGATAGAAGACAGTGCTTAACGAATCGTCAAGCACCACACCCATCCTCCTCATCTAGTGCTCATGATACTAGTGGCCATACGATTAGTACCCATGAGGATGGTAGCTCTGAGACTGACATTGAGACTACCTATTTAGAGGAGGGTTATCAGACGGAGGTTAGGACCACACGATTCACTAGACGCTCACCTTACTCCACGAGATCTAGGACTCGTGGGGCCACTCATTAGATCATGATACCTAGCATTATATGGAATTGTCGAGGTATAGGCAACCTCAAAACCCAATTCTATATAGCTAGCCTTATCTGACAGTATCGACTAGGTATAGTAGGCCTCATTGAGCCTATGATATCATCAGATCGTATCCAACCCTTACTTAGGCAGTTAGGTATGGATCATTTTCACTCCAATCTCACGAATCATATTTGGCTCTTTTGGACTAGACCATACTCTATGGAGTTGTTAGTCGAGGGATCCCAGCATATCACTATGATGATTCGAGATCTCACCCAAGAGTTCACCTTCTCGGTCATCTATGCATCACATAGATCCGAAGAAAGAGAAACTCTTTGGGCAGATCTAGTTCAGTACGTGAGGGACTACCCTACACTAGTTGAGTCTCCTTGGTATCTAGCAGGTGACTTCAACTGTGTTCGTAATACTAGTGAACGTCAAGGTGGGCGAATCCCTAGGGCCCGTAACATGGAGATGTTTAATGACTGTATTTTTTTATTATCTCTTATTGAGCCACCTACATCAAGTGAGGCATGGACGTGGAGTAACAATCGAGAGGACGCTTTGATTTATGAGCGTATCAATCGCTGTTTCATCAACAGCATCACCATGGTGCGACATCCCATATTAGTCACGATATTACCCCGTTATAGGTCAGATCACACCCCGATCCTCATACTCCCTAAACAGAGTATGAGCACTCACAGACCCCCCTTCAGATTTTAGATCATGTGGCTCCAACATAAAGACTTTAAGAGTTTCGTACGGAATCACTAGTACAGACATATCTCAGATTCTCCTATGGAGAACCTTAGCTATAGGTTAAAGAATCTCAAACTCCACTTTAAATGGTGGAACCGACATATCTATGGGAATGTTCATACCCAAGTTGATGCATTACAAAAAGAGTTAGCAGAAGTTGAAAGACTACTGCAAGCTAGATATTCAGATGCTACTTGGAAAAGGAGGAGTAGAGTGAGCAACCAACTTGATGAGGTTGTGCGATGATAGGAGTTATTCTATCTCTAGAAATCACGCATCCAGTTGTTATAAGAGGGTGATAGAAACACTCGTTTCTTTCATGCCTCGGTCGCTCATCGCTCATGTTCAGATTATACCTCTCTTTTAGAGACATATGATCAAGACCTTTCCTGCATGCAGGAGGTAGGGGTTGAGTACTTTCGTACTCTCTTAACCTCTCAGCCGATTGAGATTTCTGATGATATGCTCACTTCGATCCCATCATTAGTCACTCACCATGAGAGCTCTCTCACGACGGCCATACCCACAAGAGAAGAGATCAAGGAAGTAGTTTTCTCTATGAGCAGACATTGTGCACCCGGGCCCGATGGTTTCCCAGCTGATTTTTATATTTCTTGTTGGGATATCGTTGGCACTGATCTCATCCAGGCTATCAAGAAAATCTTTCATCGTAAAGTCTTTACACGAAGTTGGAAGGCTACCTTCCTTGCACTTATACCAAAGGTGACTACCCCAACCTCATTTAGAGACTTTCGACCTATCAGTTTATGTAACGTGTGTTATAAAGTTGTATCTAAGATCATTACACGTAGATTGAGTAGTTTCTTTGATAGACTTATATCTCCAAAGCAATGCGGATTTGTCAAGGGATGGTACATTCACGATAACATCATGTTAGTACATGAACTAGCACAGTCCCTTAGCCATGACTGACGAGGCTCCAACATTATCATCAAATTAGACATGAAAAAGGCCTTTAATAGGATGATAGAGTGGAGTTTCCTCATAAAGGTTCTTAGATGCTTTGGGTTCACTGACGACTTCATTGACCTAGTCGATGCATGTGTTTGGGAGAATCATTTCTCTTTATTAGTGAACAGTAGCTCCACACCATTCTTCACGGCCACGAGAGGTCTACGACAGGGCGATCCACTATCACCCACCTTCTTCATCTTGGTCGAAGAAGTCCTCAGTCAATCCCTCACCCAAGCGATCAATCAAGGATTTATCCGACCATATTACTCGAAGAGGGGTTGTCCGATCATCTCACACTCTCTCTTTGCTGATGATGCGATACTCTTCCTCAATGGATGTGAGAGATCTATTAGAGGGCTCATGAGTATTATCTCGAGGTATGAGCGAGCTGCAGGTCAACTCGTCAATGCCTCGAAGAGTAGCTTCATATTAGGCCCTTCTACCCCCATAGGGACCATACGACGCATCCAAGGCCTAATAGGGTTCTCTCGTGGACACCTACCTTTTGACTATCTAGGATGTCTTATCTTCCTCGGCCGTAGGCGCATACACTATTTTGACGCCCTAGTGGGAAAGTTGAGGAAGAAACTAGCGAGATGGAAGTTACAGCTTCTATCCCCTGGAGGACGGATCTAGTTGATACACCATGTCCTCATGAGCATGCCATTACACCTTTTGGTAGTCCATGAGGTACCAGACACTGTCTTATAGACTATTAGATGGATATGCACGTCCTTCCTTTGGGATGGACAACTTGAGAGACCTCATCGCCAATGCTGAGTTTCTTGGGAGAAAGTATGTCGACCTACGGATGAGGGTGGCCTAGGTATTAGGCGCCCTCAAGATGTACTCAACATACTTCAAAAGAAACTCGTTTGGAGGATGAGGACCACACCATCAGTGCTAGGTTCTTTTGTGTCAACCAAATATGGTGAGTGGGCGTCCCAGGGAACATTGTTATTGTTCCCCATGATGGGAACATTGTTTGCCTTCTCGATCAACGTACTTAGAGCCTCAAAAACATTCGATGTCTTGACTGTCTTCCCGTTACCTGTTGGTATGAGGGGAGTTGGGCCTACTACCATCTTCCTTCCCTTTCTAGTGGATGTGGATGCTCGGGAGATAAGATGTGATATCAATGTAGGTGGGGTTGTTCTCCCAGGATCGGCTGGAGGGACACTAGTTTGGACCGGCAGTGGTCGAGAGGGAGCATGCGAGCTCTGTATGGGAGGGCATCTAGGTGTAGTCTTCCCTACCTCAGTGATATAATCATCATATGACATAGGTGAAAAATAAATCGTAGTAGACTCTAAAGATAATGGGGTGGTCTTATGTCGATAAGTGTGGATAGTGTGTCCAAACACTATGCAATGGGTACAAAAATGAGGTAGTCTCTCATATATAACTATTTGATAGATCCTCTCATCCCCATTTTGCACAATGATCATGCGCTGAAGGGGGGCTAAGAGGTCTATCTCTACACATACTCGTGCATAACTTGGGCGGTTAAACATTTTAACACCTAGATCTAGGTGTATAAATGTACCAACGGCATTCGCCAAAGACTCAAGTGCCTTAGGCGTGAATAAATGTGCTGGTAGACTAGGAAAACCTATCTAAACTAGGATGGAGTGCGGTTGTTTTCCTCGGGAAAGACCGTCTGTCTGTGGATCCATCTATATGTATGCATAATGGTATCTTGAATCTCTCATGTGATCCTACTCCAAGCTTTCCGATAGTCAGCCTTGAGCTCAAAACGGATAAAGATGCTCCAATAATCACAAGCACCGATAACTACCTTACCCTGGAAATGTCCTGGGGCCAAATAGATCCTATAAATATCATCTAGGTGGGGACGTTTTGTAGAGAAGTGCCTTATCAATGAAAATTGGAAGGCCTCTGCCAGTTGGGAGACCTCCTTCGAAGAAAATGAGACTGTTCTCATTCCCCCTTCATCAGTGTGACCCCGTGACGGTATTCCATCAGCATAAGTGGGGTGTAACTCACGTCTTAGTGTATTTGCCACTGTAGGAGTGGGCTGTTGTCCTACTAGTCGTTGGGCCCAAGACTTGGCTTGGGCCTGGGTGGGCTGGGTTAGCTTGGCGTGGGCTTGAGCAGCTCTGGTTTCAGTAGTTTGGGCCAATAGGTATGGGGCCTAGGTGGGCTGTGCTTGGGTGTGCTGGGCCAGCTCGGTCTGGGCCTGAGCGGCCTGGACATGAGCGGTTCGGGCTTGAGCGGCCTGGGCTGTTGGGTCTTGGGTCGGTGGGGCCTGGGCCGGTGAGGCCTGGGTCAGCGTGGTCTGGGCCGGTGGCTGGATCCTAGAAGCTTTGGCCTTCAGACCCTTGGGCTGCGCGGTCTTGTCTAGCACGACCGTGCTCCGCGCACATCAGCCGGCTGGACCTGAGACAGAGCCGCCACGGCCAGCGTGGCTTCGGCTACTGCGGCCTGCTCTGGCTCAGCCCTGATCTGGGCCAGGACGCCATGAGCCGGCGCGGTCTGGTTTCCGGTTGTTTGGGTTGCTGCGCCCGCCCTTTCTGACGCAGATGACGTCATGGGCGTCGCACACGAGAGAACGGCGCCTGCAAAAAGTTGCGGCACCGAATCCGTTCCGTTGATTTCAATTTCAACAGATGGATTTAAGCTCCCGTTGGTGCCCTCCGTGTCAACTCTCGCTGACGCAAGCACAAACACCGTAACCGAGGAAACGACGTCAGGTGCTGGGCAGCACAATCATGCAGCAGTGCCTTTCAGCACATGCACAACTAGCGTCTCACAACGCATGCACACGTACCCGGGGACTTCCCAGGGAGGTCACCCATCCGTGGACTGCTCCCACCTAAGCACGCTTAACTCCAGAGTTCTTATGAGATCCGGTGGCAACTCTCCCACTAAGGGGGGTTAAGGGTTTAGGGTTTTAAAAAAAAAAGAGAGAAAGGGAGGGAGAAAAAAATAAGAGAATCGAGAGAGAGAGAGAAGAGAGAGGGTCAATCCTATGGATATAGATCCTTTCCTTCTCATGGGTTCAAGCTGGCTGATGGTACTAATGAGATCTTGAGAGAGGTGCTAGGTTGGCGATTCACAACTAGTTTGGCAGGTCTGATGTGCTATAGACCTATAGTTCAAAAGTGGGCAGATGCTAACATGTGCTGATAGTTCTATGTCCTCACTACTTGAGGGTGATAGATAATAGATGTGAGGTGATTATGAGAATTGTAATGATTGAAAGTAGTGTACTCGAGCGGATTACAATGTGCCTTGTTGTCCGTCTTGTGTTGATAGGCAAAGTGCATTCCACATCGGTGGTATGGGATGAGCGTCATGATGATGTCATGGTTGTGGCTTGTGATAGACCTGAAAATAGAAACAAAGGAAACACGTACCTGTATCTCTATTGTGGTCTTCAGCGGCCAATAGTAACCACCCCTGATCTCCTCCAAGTAATACGCCACTACCGTGGAGGGGCCGGTAGTGGAGTGCGGTGTATGCGTAAAGAGGGTATGCTGAGTCGCTCAAGTCTATGAGCACCTCGGGCTGCAAAGGACATGTCCTGCCAAAAAGAGAAGACTGTCCTCCGACGCGATTTGACTCCATGCATAGCAAGGGCGTTGACTATCTGATTCCCTTCTCAAAACTGATGCGTAATGGTTGTGATGCGTCCTCGACATCGCATGATGTCTGCCCAGATATTCTTGAGCCTCCAATGAGGACAAGAGTCTGCACGTAACATGTCCACTAACACTTTGGAATCAAATTCTAAGACAATATTAGTAATATTTTGCTCCTCACAAAGAAGCAAACCATCCCGTATTGCCATAGCCTCTGCCTCAGTATTAGTTCGTATATTATAAAAGTTCGAAAAAGCAAAGAGAATGCATCCTATACTATCACATAAAATACCTCCTCCTCTAGATGGTCCAGGGTTGTCTTGAGATGCTCCATCGACGTTGAGTTTCCACTGCCCAACCCTCGGTGGTGTCCATCTAACAGATCGGATAGTAGTCCAGGTCTGTGTAGGTATGATATGGAGTCCCCAAAGCCCAAAAGCCTCACAAACAGAACGCGAGCATTTCGTTTTGTTTGGCACTAAGGAATGAGTACTTCGAAGCCATTGTGTTACGTGCCTCATAATCTCTGTGACACGCATCACTTGGCTTGCAAATCGAGATGAGTTACGTCCCTTCTATATTTCCCATAACATATATGCTATGGAGATACGGATAAAGGGACTAAGCTTGACACTCGTCGGTGAGTCAATGACTCTCCTAAAGACCTCTAGTGGTGGTCTCATAGGTCTGTACGAGAGCATTGGAAGCCAATTCGTTAGAAGTTGACGCCAACACTCGACAGCGATATCACTATGAAAAAATAGATGTTCCATACTTTCGTCCGTCGTGATGGAACAACAATGACATCTCCTTTCCACCTCTTGATCGGTGACAATCACTCGATCGTCGGTGGGTAGTCCTCGGTGCATGAACTTCCATAGGAAGAACGAAACACGAGGTGTGATGGCCGGATGCCATATGAGATTTCCCCAAAATGTCTTTGGGGAGCGGTTTCTAAAGTGCTCCCAAGAGGAGCTACAAGAGAAACTGCCATCTACGGTAAGTGTCCAGATGGGTTGGTCCTCAGTAAAACTCGTCTTAGTCATGGTGATGGCTGGTAATAAGTCCGACGGTAGTCCATGCCTCTCAATAAGTAGACGAGTGTCTCCTTGGAGAAGCTGGGCTACCGTCAAGCGAGGCCAAGAGGATGTGAAAGTGGTAAAACTGGCCAATGGTGCGTCCTCTAGCCAAGTGTCGTCCCAGGCACTGATCGCGCCTCACCCTACTCGCCAATGAATAAGGGGCACCATCTCTAACCAATGTCGCTGCCAATCTGCCTATCGTTTGACTCCTTTGATGTTAGCCGGCTGTCGAGCCCACTCACCATATTTGGTTGACACAAAAGAGCCTAGCACCAATGGTGTGGTCTTCATCCTCCAAACAAGTTTCTTTTGAAGCATGTTGAGTACATCTTGAGGGCGCCGAATACCTAGGCCACCCTCATCCGTAGGTCGACATGCTTTCTCCTAAGAAACTCAGCATTGGCGATGAGGTCTCTCAAGTTGTCCATCCCAAAGGAAGGACGTGCATATCCATCTAATAGTCTGTAAGACAATGTCTGGTACCTCATGGACTGCCAAAAGGTGTAATGGCATGCTCATGAGGACATGGCGTATCAACTGAATCCGTCCTCTAGGGGATAGAAGCTGTAACTTCCATCCCGCTAATTTCTTCCTCAACTTGCCCACTAGGGCATCAAAATAGTGTATGCGCCTACAGCCGAGGAAGATAGGACATCCTAGATAGTCAAAAGGTAAGTGTCCATGAGAGAACCCTATTAGGCCCTAGATGCGTCGTATGGTCCCTATAGGGGTAGAAGGGCCTATCATGAAGCTACTCTTCGAGGCATTTACGAGTTGACCTGTAGCTCGTTCATACCTCGAGATAATACTCATGAGCCCTCTAATGGATGTCTCACATCCATTGAGGAAGAGTATCGCATCATCAGCAAAGAGGAAGTGTAAGATGATCGGACAACCCCTCTTAGAGTAGTATGGTCGGATAAGTCCTTAATTGATCGCTCGAGTGAGGGACCGACTGAGGACTTCTTCGACCAAGATGAAGAGGGTGGGTGATAATGGATCGCCCTGTCGTAGACCTCTCGTGGCCGTGAAGAATGGTGTAGAGCTACCATTCACCAATAAAGAGAAGTGATTCTCCCTAACACATGCATCGACTAAGTCAATGAAGTCGTCGGTGAACCCAAAGCATCTAAGAACCTTTATGAGGAAACTCCACTATATCCTATCAAAGGCCTTCTCCATGTCTAATTTGATGATGATGTTGGAGCCTCGACAGTCATGGCTAAAGGACTGTGCTAGTTCATGTACTAGCATGATGTTATCGTGAATGTACTATCCCTTGACAAATCCGCATTGCTCTGGAGATATAAGTCTATCAAGGAAACTACTCAATCTACGTGTAACGATCTTAGATACAACTTTATAACACACGTTACATAAACTGATAGGTCGAAAGTCTCTAAATGAAGTTGGGGTAGTCACCTTCGGTATAAGTGCAAAGAAGGTGGCCTTCCAACTTCGTGTAAAGACTTTATGACGAAAGATTTCCTTGATAGCCTGGATGAGATCAGTGCCAACGATATCCCAACATGAAACATAAAAATCAGCTGGAAAACCATCGGGCCCGGGTGCACGATGTCTACTCATAGAGAAAACTACTTCCTTGATCTCTTCTCCCGTGGGTATGGCCGTCGTGAGAGAGCTCTCATGGTGAGTGACTAATGATGGGATTGAAGTGAGCATATCATCAGAAATCTCGATCGGCTGAGAGGTTAAGAGAGTACGAAAGTATCCAACCCCTGCCTCCTGCATGCGGGAAAGGTCCTGATCATATGTCTCTAAAAGGGAGGTATAATCTGAACGTGAGCGGTGAGCGACTGATGCATGAAAGAAATGAGTGTTTCTATCACCCTCTTGTAACCACTGGATGCGTGATTTTTGGAGATAGAATAACTCTTGTCGTCACACAACCTCATCAAGTTAGTCTCTCACTCTACTCCTCCTTTCCCAAGCAGCATATGAATATCTAGCTTGCAGTAGTCTTTCAACCTCTACTAACTCTTTTTGCAGTGCATCAACCTGGGTATGGACATTCCCATAGATATGTCGGTTCCACCATTTAAGGTGGAGTTTGAGATTCCTTAACTTATAGCTAAGGTTCTCCATAGGAGAATCTGAGATATGTCCGTACTAGTGATTCCGTACGAAACTCTGAAAGTCTTCATGTTGAAGCCACATGATCTGAAATCTGAAGGGAGGTCTGTGGGTGCTCATACTCTGTTTAGGGAGTATGAGGATCGGGGTGTGATCTGACCTATAACGGGGTAATATCGTGACTAATATGAGATGTCGCACCATGGTGATGCTGTTGATAAAACAGTGATCGATACGCTCATAAATCAAAACATCCCCTCGATTGTTGCTCCATGTCCATGCCTCGCCTGATGTAGGTGGCTCAATAAGAGTTAATCAAAAAGTACAATCATTGAACGTCTCCATATTACGGGCCCTAGGGATCCGCCCACCTTGACGTTCACTAGTATTACGAACACAGTTGAAGTCAGCTGCTAGGTACCAAGGAGACTCAACTAGTGTAGGGTAGTCCCTCACGTACTGAACTAGGTCCGCCCAAAGAGTTTCCCTTTCTTCGAATATATGTGATGCATAGATGACCGAGAACATGAACTCTTGGGTGAGATCTCGAACCGTCATAGTGATATGCTGGGATCCCTCGACTAGCAACTCCATAGAGTATGGTCTAGTCCAAAAGAGCCAAATATGATTCGTGGGGTTGGAGTGAAAATGATCCATACCTAATCGCCTAAGTAAAGGTTGGATACAATCTGATGATATCATAGGCTCAATGAGGCCTACTATACCTAGTCGATACTGTCTAATAAGGCTAGCTATATAGAATTGGGTTTCGAGGTTATCTATACCTCGACAATTCCATATGATGTTAGGTATCATGATCTAATGAGTGGCCCCACGAGTCCTAGATCTCGTGGAGTAAGGTGAACGTCTAGTGAGTCGTGTCGTCCTAGCCTCCGTCTGATATCCCTCATCTAGGTAGGTAGTCTCAATGTCAGCCTCAGATCCACCATCCTCATGGGTACTAGTCGTGTGGCCACTAGTATCATGAGCACTAAATGAGGAGGATGGGTGCAGTGCTTGATGATTCGTCAAGCACTGTCCTCTATCAGGGCTCTCTCTAGAATCAGCGGGTGGTGGATCAAGTATAGGGAACTAATCTGGCGAGTGTAGTGGGGGAGAGGGGGGGAGGGTATAAGAATCAGAAAGGGGGGCTACGTAAGATGTACTAATAGGAAGTGTGCTGGGGGTAGGCCCTCCTAGTAGATCCTTGACGGGGATTTGAGGGGGATGGGTAGTGCCCAAGCCAATACCCTCAGAGAAAGGGGTAGACCTCGGTCGGTGGGGACTAAGAGGTGAAGGGCTCCTGCTATGTGGGGAAGAGTGAATGGGCGGGGAGGAGCTGGGTGGTGGAGAGACACTAATGGGTGGAGTTGGGTGGGTGAGTATGGGGGGTTGGATAGCCCGAGGGGATCTAGTATGTGGAGCTTGACTAGGTGAGTCCCTCGTAGTGGGGGATGCTAGCCCTTTGGAAGGCCTAGTTCCCCTCTGTGCAAGTCCCTCAAAGTCTCTCTCATCTAAAGCCTCTAAGACCTCAAAGGTGTTTGAGGTTAGGGGTTTCTTTCCCTTGCCTAAAGGGGAATGTGTAGCCTCTCGTGTTCCTTTCTTCCCCCCTGTGTGGATGGAAGAAGGGCGTCCAGCTGCCGACTTTCGCCGTGCATGCTGTGTCTCAATCAATGAACTAGGCTTCTCCTGTGCCTTCCGAGGTAAGGGAGGTGGAGCCGCCATAGGGGCAATTGACCTTTGAGGATGACGAGCACTCTGAGCATCCTTTCTCATTTCGACAAGGTAATCGTCATATGAGATCGGTACTAAAAAGGCTCGTGTGGTCGCTTGTGGTGTACCTGCCTTCTGACGACATGTGCTGACAGTGTGGCCCAAGATAGCACAATGTGTGCAGAAATATGGTAATCTCTCGTAAATAATAGGCTGATAAAGCTCATCATCTCCACTACGTATAACGAGAGTCCTCTATAGAGGGGCCATTAGGTCCACCTCTATACAAACTCGTGCATATCTTGGCCGGTTGAACATTTTTACGCCTGGGTCAAGGCATATGAATGTTCCCACCGCATTTACTAAAGACTCAAGTGCCTTTGGCGTAAATAAATGGGCAGGTAGGCCAGGGAAGCCCACCCATAATGGAACCGCATGGGATTGATGTGCTCGGTGCCCTATGTCGGTCTGTGGTGTCCATCTGTGGGTATGGAGGGTAGACTCCCCCATTGTCCAAGTGGGTCGGCTCCATGCTCGACGATAATCTGCTTCTAGTTCAAAGCGGATGTATATGCTACAATAGTCTCGAGCTCCGATGGAGACTCGGCCTTGGAAATTTCCAGGTGCCAAGTAAATCTTCTCTATGACACCTATAGTTGGTCATTTCGTAGTGAAACGACCAACTAAGGTATATTGGAATGCGGCTGCCATCTGGGAGACCTCCTCATAAGTAAAAGTTATTGTCCTCCTCCCATCATCCTTGCTATAGCTTCGCACTGGGACAGTGGTATCATAGAATGGGAATAGTACCTGACGCAGCGGTTCCTGTGGTGTGACAGTCTCTATGGAGGGGGCAGAGGCTCCAAACACTCGTTGCGCCCATGATAGGTGTCCAGTGGGCATAGTCGGGTTTGGCCTATGGGGCACAGTAGAGTCTAGCCCACTAGGTGTAGATATGGTGTGTCCAAGGGATGTGTTTGGGGGCAATATAGAGGTCTCAACTAGTGCTGGGATCCTAGTTGGTTCGAGGGGCTCAGTTTGAGAGAGCCTAAGGGCCCCTATAGGTAGAGGTAAAACCGGCTCAATCTGTTGACTCGGGGTAGGCCTAGAGGACGTGATCGAGGGTGGACGTAAAAGTCGGCGTCCTATCTTCTTTTTGGGCCGTAGGCTCTTGCCCCTTACTTGGGCAAGAGCTTGGACCGGCTGAGCCTGAGCTGGCTACTCAGGCTCGGCCTGGGCCACCTAGGCTTGGGCCGGTGCGTCCTGAGCCGGCGCAGCCTCGATGGGCTGGGCCGGCATGACCTGGGCTAAAGCGGCCTCAGATGGTGCTACCTGGGCCGGCTCAGCTCTAGCCACCTTGCCGGAGGCTCGCACGAGCCGCGCTTGTACGGTGCCAGCTGAGCGGGGCTCGGCCCATGATGGCGAGCCATCGTCCGTGGTGTTTGATGTTGATGACGTCAGTAGCGTCCCAACTGAGGCATTGGCGATCGCAAAAGGTTGCGGCGCCTTTATGGCCACGTGATCCCCTCCATTGATCTCAAGATCAACAGTTGGATCAAGTTGGCCGTTATGGCCGTGACTGTCCGAGGGCCGAGCCTCGGTAACGGCTGTTGAGGCCTTTATAGCCGGCTGATTCTGACCATTGATCATACGATCAATGGTTGGATCAAAGGGGGCCTCTTCGCCTGCCGTCGCCTCATTCCCGGAGGGAGAGTGGACGGCGTCCACTGCTGTCCCCTCCGATTCCGGCCTCGGGAAGACGCCAGCTGATGTCGAATCACGGACGTCCGTGGTTCGACCGTTCAGCTCATTTACGGCCGTCTCCTCGGTCACATCAACCGGCGGAGAGAGAAGGCGAGGATAGGAGGCCGTTACTGCCACGTGTCGGCCTTCTGTTCGCTCGCATTCGTCGGGCGAGTTTTCATCTAGGCGATGGAGGTCACCCGATGAAATCTGTGAGCTACTCATCAGCTAAGCATCAAATAAAAATGATATAGAAGAGAAAATGGTAAACGAGGCAAATACGATTCTATTGAACTAAAAATAATGAAATTTCACCCAGTCAATAGAAAGATATTACCTTTGGAGTGAAAACTCCGGAAGTTTACCTTCGCGATGAGGAAATTGCGAAACAAAGGCTTTAATCCAGCATTTTCGATGCGTAATAGCTCGAAACCGATAGTTGTCGGCCTTCCGAATCAAATGGAAAAGGTTTCAGCGCGATTTGAGGTCACATGAAGGAGATCTCACCATTTGCGCTGATCATGAGGAGAGAGAAGCTCTCGCGAGGAGAGAGAAAAAAGTTCAGCAAATACGGGTTATGTAAAAAAGTTGCCTTTCTGTCATAACAACTCTTTTCTCACCACTTTATATCATTTTATTTCTTTCTTAGAACCACTTACTGCAAAAAAATCTTGTCTTGCAAGAACACCTCATGGTGCACAACATGGAGGTTTACACGTCCTACTACTGTCAACCAGATATTCCAACTTCATGAACTCAAAGGCTCTTTCAGCCCAAATGCAGATCAACCAGTTTCTTCAAATATGATGAGCGAACTGGAGTCTATCTCTAGTATTATCACATCCCCTCTAAAAAAAGAGGTCTTTCACCCTCCATGTCATCCTCGCCCCTTGTGCGAATGAGATCCCACTTATGTAACCTCAGAATGAGGTCAAACTTTTATCACTCAATCAAATTTCTTCATCAAAAAAAAAAAAAAAAAAACTCTTAACCCTAAACTCTAAACCCTAAACCCTAAAAACCCCCCTTAGTGGGAAAGTTGCCACCGGATCCCATAAGAACTCCAGAGTTAAGCGTGCTCGGGTGGGAGCAATCCCCGGATGGGTGACCTCCTTGGGAAGTCCCCAGGTACGTGTGCATACGTTGCAAGACGCTTACTGTGCATGTGCTGAAAGGCACTGCTGCATGATCGTGCTGCCCAACACGTGTTATGAACCCCTTCGTCACCATGCTAAGATACTCCCAGCTCCGAAGAATGTGCCGAGAGGCCATCTTGCCACCATGCTGAGAGGCATATGTGGCATCCATCTCACTATGCCAAGACGCCCCTAGTGAAGCTGAGAGGCACCCCTGCCACCACGCCGAGAGGCATATATGTGGCATCCATCTCACCATGCCAAGATGCCCCCAGCTCCAAAGAATGTGCCGAGAGGCACCCCTGCCACGATGTCGAGAGGCACAAGTGGCATCTATCTCCAAAGAATGTGCTTGAGAGGCACCAAAGTGCTTGGGCGTGTGAAGTATCACGATGGGTGACCTCTTGAGAAGTTCAGCCCAAGACAGTTATCAAAAAAAAAAAAAAAAAAAAAAAAAACCTAAACCCTAAAACCCAACCCTCCTTAGTGGGAGAGTTGCCACCGGATCCCATAAGAACTCCGAAGTTAAACGTGCTCGGGTGGGAGCAGTCCCTAGATGGGTGACCTCCTTGAGAAGTCTCCGGGTATGTGTGCATGCGTTGCGAGAGACGCTTGTTGTGCATGTGCTGAAAGGCACCGCTGCATAATCGTGCTGCGCTGCCCAGCATGTGTCATGAACCCCTCCATCACCATGCCAAGATGGGTGATGGAGGCATATGTGGCATCCATCTCACTATGCCAAGACGCCCCCAGCCACGATGTCGAGAGGTGCAAATGGCATCTATCTCCAAAGAATGTGCCTGAGAGGCACCAAAGTGCTTGGACGTGTGAAGTACCGGGATGGGTGACCTCTTGAGAAGTTCGGCCCAAGACAGTTATCCAAAAAAAAAAAAAAAAAGCCCTGAACCCTAAACCCTAAGCCCAAAGCCATAAACCCTAAACCCTAGACTATTCTTGCAAAAGATCCCTTTATGGGCTATTCTTGCAGGAAGGAAGGATTTTAGATGTTGTTGCCCTGAAAATAGAGAAACTCC